AGGCTGCTGCAGCGATGCTTACTGGATAACAGCCTCTGATTAAAAACAACCAAACGATATTACTTTCTTTCAGTCTACAGTAAATACAGTAATAATTTGAAACTCACGTTTGAAAACATGTATTGCACAGTCGAAGCAATTCTAACATCTAGGAAACAGGATTGAACGAGGTCAGATCAATGAGTGTATACTTCTTACTACGTTTGATAGTGTGTCTTACTCTTTTTGAATAGATTTTTCTACACAAGTCCGCCCGTTTCCTATGTCATCTATTTGTTCTTTACATTTTTAAATGCAGGGTGGGAGGTGACTTACCTGTTTGCAGGTGAGCTTGATAGCACTGTATAATGGAAATAGTTGGTTTGAAATTTTTGATATTGGTGTTTTTCTTGGCAAAACGTGTAGGAGAGTATGCACTTTGTTTTCATTTCAACCAAAGTGTTGCAGCATCAGTTTTCAGAAACAAGACTTAAACAAAAACTAGCTGTTAAAAAAAACCCAAAAACCAACCCAAACAACCCAAAAAACGGCCTGGAGACCTGTCTTTTAGATACTCCCAACATGCCTGTATTCCAGAACAGGGACTTATAATTTATCAGGTCCAGCTGTTAGTCATTGTACTGAAAAGCTGTTCGATTTCAGACAAACTGCAAGCCTTCAAAATGTTGATGTTCACAGACATTCCCTAGAGCTTTCAAAACTACTTAAGTAGCTGATTAATTTGGTGATGTTATGCTCCAGACCAGGCTTCAGTGGGAGTTTCCGTGTCACTGCTGTGGGTCCTCGTATCTTGAGACAGCATCTTCTGAAGAATGCTCAGTGTTTGCCCTTCGCTCTAAACGCAGGAGTGGGGAGGGAATATGCTCAGGATGGATGAGAAACACGTAGTGGGAAGGTTGGGACAGGGTGATGGAGAAGAAGGAGCCTCACTGACGTGATGATGGTCAGGAGACGTGTTTCCCCACAGACACCTGGGATGTAACCCAGGTTCTAAGTTCACCTGAAACCATTCATCTGCTGTTGGTGCTTGTTAATATGTCTTTCCTTTCCCCTCTTCTGGTCCCAGTATTGCTCCATGGTCAGGATAAAAGCCTCGTGGCTCACCAGGCAGCAAGAGCCACATCTTCCACAGTGCCTACACGTAAAGAGGGGTTGGCAGAAGCGTGTTTCCTATTGCAAATACGTATGGCTTAAAGCTTTTCCCCAAGAAGTAAGGGTAAGGAGCCATCAAAATGGGATTCCCTGTAGCAGTGAGGGTGAACTCTCTCACATCACTCTGTTAACTCTATGGTACAAGTCTTTGTGGTGGATCTACAGACTTCATATGGAAACAGGCAGGTAGGAAAACCCCACAAGATTCAGAATCTGGGGCCATGTAATGAGTCTTCATTTTTTCTGTTTGCCTTTTCCTCCCTTCTCCTCATGATTTTCCTAGCTGAGGTTCCCTGAGGTTCTCCTCTGTGGGCTGTAGGTGCTCTCATCCTGTCCTGTGTGTGGAAACAGTGCATGGACCACTGCTGACCCCCCAGACCGACTCCTCTGTCCATCAGTGATGTGATCAGTCAGTGCTGGCAATTTCCCAGGTCTGTTGAGGAGTTGGGGGGAGTGAGCAGCAGGCAGGGAGAGAACTAACCTCTTCGAGGTCTTGATCACTGACACCTCTCAAGTGCTGTGTTTATAAGAGGTGTCTTTACAGGAGAATGGTGTCGTGCGCTGAAGGGATGGTCTAAAGACCCCGGTGAAAGATAGTGCCTGTCAAAGGTGCCTGTCACCTGTGTGCTTCCAAGGTGTCCCCCAGGAGACAGCTACTAGGACTCGCCTGCCTGCGCGTATTGTTCCCGGATCAACTGTTTGCTTCTGGCAACCTCCTTTTCCAGTGGGAACTCTGGAACGTGCAGGACATCAGTCACCCGGGTGCCGTTGTCCTACAGCTCATCCATGATAAATTCTGAGCTCCTGAGGCTCAAGTATGTGCCCGTATGCTGTCAGGCTTGTCCCCTAATAGAGAAGGGCCATGGCGTGTAGTTCTTCTTTGGTCCCGAAGACAGAAAAAAATTTGAGATTTACATAATATTTTTCACTAGTTTTGTGTGCTGCTTAATCCAGTTATACGTCCAAATGAAGAAGAAAGCTGATGGCAAAAAAAGGAAGCTAAACACCAGGCCATATATATGTTGAGGTATAATGTTCTGGCTCATAATGATACCCACATCAAGTGGCGAATATCTCTGCAGAAATGTCTTTGTACTCTTTGTTTCTCTGGTCTCTTTCATTAATCTTGCTGTCGTAAGCTGTGGTCTGTGAGCTTTTAACTTAAAAATCTGTGTGTTGTAGTTTCATCTTTCTAAGCAGTTCCGCTTATTTTAAGTTTGAGATTCAGGTTCGTGTTCATTTGAAGATTGTTCCATCAGTGTATATTTGAAGAGCGTTATTTTACTGTTCAATAACTGTTAGTAGCTCGGAGCTCTGTAAATCACTTACTATGAGGGGGGAAAAAAATAAAATGACTGCACAAGATGGTGTGTTGATATAAATTGGCATTCCTCTACAGAACTGTAAAGTCATAGTTCCTTAAATGAGATAAAATAGTCTGTAAAGTACTGCCTATGTCTTTTTCAAAATCTGTGCAGAATAACTTTAATAAGATGGTAGGAAAAACTTCATTTAAAAAAGAAATTCTCTTGCATAACAGTTCATCCTCCTAAATGCTGTTTTAGGTGCACGGAGATTGGCTATTTCAAGTTGAATATGTCAAAAATGCTTTGTTTAGATTGTTAGGACCAGTTCTAAAGTGCTGAAGACAGAAACTCTTGAGCAGAGAAGTACGCATACAGAGGGATTTAGTGCGGCAGAGCTTAGTAACGGCTAATTTGTAGGCACTCGTGGCTGCAGGAGTGGAACTGATAGCTGCGGGTTGTGTGACAGAGCTGTCTGCAATCCACAGAGATTTGGCTACACAGGGATGAGTTTACGTAGCAACTGTTTGGATTGTGGCAGTAACTGAACTCTAGTGAACATCAAAGAAAATCCAGATGCTTAGGGGACTTTCTTGTATTTTGCATTAAACAGCTGTTGGGTAAAAATATGGCAACTCTCCTTGAAGTAGATGCCGGGTCCAGAACTTGGCACTTCTGGGAGGATGTTGCTTTGACTCTAGACTTGGGCTTGCTGTGGCTTCCTCACCCTGGCTCCAGGGCTCTGGCAGGCCTTAGGACGAGCTTAAGCAGCGTGGGAGGAGAGTGTCTCGATTTGACAAGCAAACCTGCGTCTCTGACCTAGTCTTTACATTTGGGCAAACGTGCTCTGGCTCCGTATTTATCGTACTCTGAAGGTAGTTACCTGAGAGGCTCCTGTGGGAAGGTTGGTCACGGTACATTGACGTTGCAAATCCCACGCCTGTTCGGGTGTTTACATATATCGGGGTAGGACTGTAGCCAGTATGATCCCGTGCAAAACAGTTTTAGCTGTCTTGGGAACCTGGGGGTGAAAATGCAGCTTTAAGAGACTTTGTCTGTGGTACTAAACATGTGGTTTTTGCTCAGTCATGCATTTTGACCCAAGGGCCTAGTGTAATCAAGACTTATATTTGCATGTAAACCTTTTGTGAATTTAAGCATAAACATACTTAATGGTGAATTTCTCTTTTGTTCTGTTTTCAGTCTCTGCCCTGGAGATTAGGGTCTGCTGCCTGGGTGGTCAAAGGTGTGAGAAAGGGCAAAAGTTTGTGTGCGGAAAATGAACAAGTTCAACTTGTTTATGCTAGAAAGATGAGGACCTGTAATATTTCAGTGTTGGTTACAGACAGGTGATATTGTGACAAAACATAGCCGTGACCTAGCTGTTGATGTGAATGTTAAAGAATGTTTTCCCAGTGCTGAAGTCGCCAGGGAGCCTTGAAATCCCAGTTTGCTCTTGGGAGGAGGAGCTGTTACTAACCATTAGCTGACGTGTGTGTGAACAAGGAGAGGGTCTTGGTGGATAGGGCTGATACTGCTGGGACAGAAAAATGGTTTTAAAGCATTAGGCGCTTTTTGCAGCCTGGAAAATCAAGGAAATCTTTAATTGTGAAGCAGTGGAACTGATCTCTTGGAAGTTCTGAGTGAAGAGGGTAGTCCTTGTCACAATTCATAAATGGCAGGCTTCCCCACCTCCCATTCAAATTTTTACCGAAGAAAATTTGTTAAAAATCAAAAATTTTTATCTGTAAACTTTTTCCAAATAAACACACTTGCAATCAAGAAACATTAATTTAGTATTTCGAGGTCTGATTTTGGAATAAAGCAATTTAAAGTTGAGTGGATCTAAACTGAGAATCAATATCAACCTAACTCTAGTTTAAATTAATTGTAAAATAACTTCCTAGAATTTTTTTTCCTCAGTGCATGTTTTGATTGTGACAACTAGGACAAAAAAAGTACGTTATTTTAATTGCATAACCAAACCCACATCAAGTGAGTCACATCAGTCGCTGAAATTGACTGCGTTCTATTGATTGTGCAACTATTATGGATCTTCATTTCTATCTGTTAATTAAACATATTAAAGATGTTGTACTACCGATTGCATGGTGTCTTAAAGTGAATATTAGAAGTAGATATTAGAAGGACCATATACATTACTCTCCACATTTATCAAAAATTAATATCCAAGGCAAAAATGTAAAATTAAGCTAAAATAAAAATTTGTTCTGATATACGAAGCTGATCGCTGCATTTGTGAAAATTTACAACAACTAGTTGATACCATAATAAAATAATTCAGATTTGCTGATAGTGTGAATTTCAAGTTACTTAATAACATGAGTTTGTTGACAACTTACATTAAAATTGACTTTTAATTTTTGCATGCAAACCAAACTTTCTGTTTACCTGATGACTTTAAAATGGTATCAAATATATTTGTTTATATGTGCATACACACTATTTTTTTTTTTATACCTCTAACAACAAAACATAGACACGAGACTTTTCTTACAGTTTAGAATTTCTGTTTTTGCGTAGTTTAAAAATGGGACGTCGCTCCTCGGACACAGAAGAAGAGAACAGAAGCAGAAGGAAGAAGAAACACCGCAGGCGTTCATCTTCAAGTAGCTCCTCAGACAGCAGAACGTACAGCCGTAAAAAATCTGGGAGGAAGTCGAGGTCAAGGTCGCGGTCTCGAGATCTCCAGTCTCGTTCACATTCTTATGAGAAAAGGTGCATTTGTAGTAATTTACTGTCTGTCGTGTTTGTTTACAAATCGAGCTCTTTCGTGTTATGGCAGAAAGCTACGAGTGTTTGAACCCAATGTCTAGTTGGTTCTAGGTTGGAATTTTATAGCAAGGATTGCTCGGAGTCTTGGGAGACGTGGCAATATTTTCACTTACATTTAAAGAAAAAAGCCAAAACCGCCACCAGAAAAACTCGAAACACCTTCAGCCCTTCCAAGAATACAAAACCGGTGTATGTGCAGATCCAGAGGTACCTCCCTTATTAAACCAGACAAAAACCAGCCAAGTAAAATAACTCTTCCTTCCTCTTCCTTCCAAATAATTAATTTCAAATATATTCATACATTAATGCCAGTTAGTAGTTTCATTCAACTAGTTATAGCCTGTTGTTACTCTTTTTCCCGTTGTTCTAAACCAAGCAGATCTTTCCAGCCAGCAGGGTTGACGTTCTCAATCGAAAGACTTGGGGTGATTTTACAGTAGGTCTATACATTTGCTGCAGCAGCTGGTTTTCACCGTTTTTCTTGCTATTTTTGAAATGTACAGAATCCAGTAGCCAGCCTGGTGTTTAGAACACTGATCAGGTGGCTATATCTACCAATTTTTTCTTGACCTAACACTTATTTCCTTCATTAGAAGCCCCTTTCAGTACCTGACCCTTTTAAATCGGGGTGCTATCCTATCCTGCCTGTGTGTCAGGGTGGCTCCAGGTGATCCTGGTGTCAAATGGAACGGGTAGTGCTCAGTTGATTCGTAAGTGGAGCTGGAAAATACTCATAGTGTCTACCCGCCCTGTAAATATATTAGAAACTGCTCCTCAGAAACCTTTCTTTAGTTGGCAGAAGAGTGTGTCAATGAGGGGCAAGTTGGCTGGTTGTGGAGGTTTCTTACTTATTTCCATCTCCCCTTTCTTCTGTTCCTGCTTAGGATCGACACACAGCCCTTAGGGGACAGTGAGATGACATGGGCTCCGATGCCAGCAGTATGCTGATGACATGCAGCTTTATGAATCTCTTTAGTCCAGTGCAGGCATGGCTAGCTCACAGATAAAAACAGACCTTGAAGGGAGATTAGAGTCTGGACTAAGACCAGTTGACTTAAATTGAATCCAGAAAAGACGAAAGTGTCTGCTTTTAGGATCTGCCTGGCACCTTTGCTTTGCCCTTAGTTTAGGGCATTTGCTCCTGGCAGTTAAGTCGCTACGACACGCTGGGGTCCTGCTGGATTTGTCCCTGACCCTTAGGAATCCAGAGCAGCAGTTGCTAAGTTTACTGTTCTTCTTCATTTAGCAGGAACACTGCATTCCTTTTTCAGATAAAGACCTGTTTTTAAGTAGTTAACCTATATATCTTTCCCAGCTTGGACTACTGCAGCACTACTTGTACCTCATAGAGCACCTTTTCCCTTCCACTAGATAAGAACATACCACACTGACTACATCCCCAAGTACAGAAGTGTTTCTGTTTGGTGTTACATTTTAATATTAATAAAACAATAAAGGCCAGAAATAAGGAGGTTCTCCTAAGGATTGTAACTGTGATTTAGTTAGCTGTTCGAGAGACGGAGAGGGAATTTTAAGATTAAGACTTGGTAGGTAATCCTTGCCCCAGTTTTGGGATTAGTTGGTTTAATTTATGTATTTAATATCTGTTCTTTCACCTTTTTCCTTTGTGTGTAAGAATTTATTATTTGAATAAATGTAGTGGGGAGGTTGGGTGGGAGGGGGAGAAGGAAGACACCTTTCTGACTCCTGACTGAACTCAGGAGAAAACTTCCAAGCTCAAATGGAATAAATGAATGCTGATTATTTGATTACTAATAGTCCTGAAAAACAAAGCTTGTCTGCATCGGAGCAGAACAAAGATTGCGTGTTATGCAAGTTGAGATGACGAATCTGTAAGGTTATATAGATACATAATATTTTTAGGCGTGCATAATTTAAAATACGTTTTGATGCTCACATTTTATGTACGTACATCGTGTGAGTGGCAATAATTGCATAGAGTAGCAATGGAGAAGTTAATGCTTTTGGAATTTCATTTTTAGTGCCAGAGTTGTAGTCCTTGTCCCCTGCGGTGTATTGCTGTGTAAATCCTGCTGAGAATGGCAGTTCTAAATGTTTCTCCAACCTTAGATTTGGCAAAGAGGCAGTGAGTTCCAACGAGCTGGTCATGGGACTAAAAAATCATTGAGGGCTGAGTTGTGTTCCTGGCTTTCCCCTGGAAGTATTGCATGGTTTTAGGCGAATCAGTTAACTTCTGTTTTTCTGTCTACCCTTTTTCTGTCTTAGGATGTGTATTTTAGAACATAAACTCTGAGACAGGCATTGCCCACGTGTCTGTAAATTACTTTTTACAGCCTGATAGTGGTATTTGAGGCTTCTACAACATAATACAAAACCCACAGGTTTTGTATGTCCCTTTTAAGTAAACAGGGTTTTTATTCCTGTGTTGTTGTTTGGGTTTTTTTTCTCTTTTTAGAAGCAGTAGCATACTAATAGCACGGTTTTGTTTCAGACGCAGACACAGATCGAGCAGTAGCTCTTCGTACGGTTCTAGAAGAAAACGCAGTCGTAGCCGATCAAGGGGCAGAGGCAAATCCTACAGGTCTCAAAGATCGAGATCAAAAAGTAGAACAAGAAGGTAAGACTCTTTTCTAGGAAAAAGAATTATTATTTCTACCGTAAAAACATTCATTTAAAATCTCCATATAGTTACCGAGTTTGGAATATACTAGAAATAATGGTTGCAAGTGATTGTCTAAACTGCACGTCGCTCGAAACTCTTCCTAATTTGAAATCTCTATGCTGTGCTTTTGATGTACTAAATCTTTAAATTGCTCTGGTGGAACAGTTGCTTTTGAAGATAAGTTACATATTTTGCATTTGACCAAGTGCAAAAACCGTTAATGAAGTCACCTTGGTTTAACTGTAATCATCTGAAAACTTCTTGTGAATTTTTTTTTGCCTGCTGATTTCCATAACTCCCATGCATAACATTGGCCCCCTGAAGATTAGACTAAACTGTTATATTTTTCTCATCTGTATTTCCCTTGGAAAGAGATGAGTATTTAGTTCTGCAATTTTTTCTTAATATTTAAAGACATTGATGGTGCTGAAATTTTTCATAAGTTGGATCGTGACAAATTTTTTCCGCAATAAACGTAATTTAAATATTTAAATCTTAATCAGATGTTGCAAATTGTACCATAAAATCTTTTGTAATTAAAAGCAGCTCAGTTTTTGTGTGTTTTAAATAAAGTTTATCCCTGGATATCAGAATTACTGTTAGCATTTTCCATGGAATTTAAATTAATTATTGAGTGTATCAGGCAGATCAAAGCTCTTTTGGTATGTGTTTACCAGATCTTCAGCCAGGTGATTTTTTTTTTTTTTTTTCATGCACTAAGAATTTAGTAAAACTTGTTATTTTCATATACCAAATCAGGAGAGCTCTTGCCTCTAAATGTTGAAAAATTGTTGTCAAAAGACATGAACATTTCACTCTCTTATTTGTATTCTCTCATGACTTATTCACAGCTGTTCATTATAATAGTTGCCTGGACACTTATTGCTACAGTCCCTTTGTAGTAGCAATTTGGTTATTTAAACTGTCTGATCTCTCTGACTATACTTACCATCTGAGCTATAGACCCCAGACAAGCTACTGCGCTGTGCCTAGCAATATTCCGGTAAATATCCCCCGTTTTGCTAACAAAATCAGTTTTCAAATGGTGAAATGTCAAAAGAATAAGGTGAAAATGAAGATGTTTTTTGAGTATGTCACATACTCAGCATTGGGAAGTATGATAACCTGATTTAAAGAGCTGGTTTTGATTGTAATAAGTATAAATTGCAGGTCTCATTAGACATAGTCTAATGGGCATCTTTTCCAAGGGGTTTACCGATGTTAATTGTCATTGTAGCAATATATGGAAATTATGCACCTAAAAACTTTAAAAAACGTGACTAGCGTTTGTTTCATTTTGTGCTAGGAAGTACTGTGTATAAAATATTTTATACATAAAAAAATATACTAGCTTTTCAGTGCTATAGCTATGGAGGTATAGCTGCACGTCACTTTAAATGATGTTACTATTCAGAGACGTGGTTCTTCAGGGAAAATATTTATAAATAACATCCTAAATTATAACAGAAGAGTCTTTTGACATGTTAAAAGCATAAAACTAAAACATTAAGAGCATAAAAGTAAACCCAACAGGACACGCTGAATCCTTTATTGTAATTTTTCTTCCAAGTCTGCTCTCTGCTGTAATGTTACACTCCGAAGCCATGGATTAATCTTATTTTTGGAGAAGAGTTAAATAGGTTGCAGAAAGCTGCTACTAGAGGCCCGTGTTTTCCGTGTTTGTTAGCGTTGAGGCAGTTGCAGCAATGCTAAATAGTTCTGCTCTTCGCTATCTCAAAACCTGTCTCGTGCACTGAGTTGAAGCTCTGAGCAGCTTTCCTGAGAGGACTGAGGACGTAATGATTCTTCAGGCTGGAAAAGAGATGGTGAGGGAAAGAGGGAATATGATGGAGGGGTATAAAAAAAAATAAAATTGGTGTGAAAAGATGATTAAGGAATGAGTGTTTGCGATCTCCTCCAGTGTAAGACCTGGGGCAGGCATGAAGTGATCGAAGTCAGCTGGTGGCAGATCCTCAGATCCTCCTCAGACAAAAGGAGATGCTGCTTCTGTATCACATAATTAAGCTGTGGAAGCCCTTGCTGTTGGAGATTGTGGCTACCAGCAGTTGAAATGAATTAAAAAAGCAGTCAGGCAAGAAAAAAATCCATCCAAAGCTGCTAAATGCGAAGGGACAGTGTTTGTTTTAGGATACGTGTGTATTTGTAGCGCTGAACTGGAATTTTCATGAGAATTTGACATCTGTAATTCATTAATTTTTTGCTTGGGGTGGGACATCTTATTTTCCTATGACTTTTAAAGGTAAGTCCTGAGGAAAACACTGATGTGAATAAGCTAATAAAATGCTCAGAAGTAACCACCTTGGCTTAGTGTAGTGAAGAGCGTGTTGCCCGCTGAGGTGTCCTTGCTGATCTCCAGCTCCTGAATCGCCCGTGGCAGGGAGCAGGATCTACTGACCCGCCTGGGAGGCAGCAACAGGAGATGGAGCAGCAAAGTGAAGATATCTCTGTGCTACTTGTATGTGCGGTGTTACTGCTGTACCTTCAGAGTACCACCTTTAGGGCTGGAGCAACTGGGATTTTTATTTTTTCCCCCCCCAGTGGGAATGGGACTGAGACTAGAAAACTAGTTTCATGTTGGAAGTGAAGATCCATTACGCGCTATCTTTAAATCACTGGGTTTGTTTTTGGTGTAAGTCATGCAGATGACACAAATTCTGCATCCCATAATGTCTTCTCTCCCCACGATCCCCTGTCAAATTAAGACAGTTTGTTTTTCAAGGTAGTGAAAATGTTGTTAAAAGTCTATGTGGCTGGAATGTAATTTTTTTTTTGTAATAACTTCTCCAACACAGGTGTTTTATTTGAGTGAATGATTTCCAGAGCTCCAACTGTGTAAAATACCGAAGTGCCAAGTTTTAATTTGAAAAGTTAGATTTTTACAATGACATGTTTTTAAAATATTTTGAGTAGGTATTATTTGCAACCTAAAATGATTTATTCGTACTTTATTTTAGAAGATAAGAAAACTTGTGCGTATCATAACTATCTTATTTTAGATGCATTTTTTAGAGTCAAAAAAGTGGGGCTTCCTAGTAATGCTATAAATTTAAAGCTGTCCTACAGCAAGATAGTACGATGCAAATGTGACTTAATAAGATCACAAACTGAATTTCAGCAAAACAACCAAGATTTACATTAAATTAGGAATTTTAAAACCGATTTAGTTTGTTTTACTGAGCATTTGCTTAATAACATTTCGCCTTCTTGCAATCTTTTTAAAGACAATAATTCGTCTGTGAAATGCAGGCACATCCTCGGCAGAAAAATTGAAAGCAACAGCTCACTTTCTGAAACCACACATACAGTGATATAAAGAAATATTTCAGCTCTACGAAATTTAATAAATCATCCCATTTCCTAATTTGATCATATTAGATGCTGATGTGGAAGAAGCATTTCAAATACCATCTCCTCATTAATATACATCAGTCTGGGGAATAGAATGGAATACTTATGCAGAGATGTCACAGTTACTGTTTCTTAGTTTACTAAGTGGAACAGGTTGATGTGATACTGGGTGCTATTTGTCAATGTCTTGCTAAAATGGTTTGGGTCGAGTTATGGAGTCCAGAAAGACGGCGGCTGATAAATCAAAAGTGGATTGAGTGGACAGGAGGCAGTGATTGATACTGTGACAGGATATGAAGAAAGGAATCTTGATACAAGCATGCATGATATTGAATATGAGAAGGAAAATGGCCCTGGAGTATGGATATTATTCAAGGAAATGAGAATAATAATATCATCTTGAAATTATTGCTGGGTGAAGATTAGGATAGTTCTTATTAGAATATTATGCTTCTCTGGGATAGAGAAACTCGGATTTCTTGTAATTTCTATGTGGCTAGAGTCTTGTTAATATTTTTAGGGTTTTCCCTGCAATTGTTCTGCAAGTTAATTTGTACGTGAAAAATGCTTACTTTACATCAGGACTTGTAATGCAAATCTTTTGATTCACGTAGCTTTAAATAGGATTTACCAAAATATTTATTCCTTGGTTTCCTACAATTCTGTGATTATAGAGTATTTCACTGTAATTGCCTTTAAATATGCAAGTTTGTTTTTTGTTGTCTGCCAAGTGTTTTTGGCTTTTCCCTTTACGTTAAACTGAAAACTGCTGCCTTGAAATACCTTTAACACAATTCAGCCTAAAGATTGACACAACAGCTAGTATATCTGTACATATCTAAGAGGAGAAAATATCATGTGTAAAGTAATCCTGTTTGTAGAATTGATGCCTTTGGACTGTCAGTGAAGGAAGTGTTTGATCAGTGTATTGTTGTTTGTTGGTTTTTATGTTGGTTTTTTTTTCCCCCAGTGTGTGTGTGTGAGCATGCTTGCATTTTATTTCCTTACCATTTTTCCAGTCTAATTGATTTAATATTGAAATGTGTGCAGTCCAGTGCCAGGGCGACCTACTTCTTGCAGGTGGCTTTGGAATAGATTTGGGTTTTGGGATGGAAAAGCATCTTGTGGACCGAAGTTGCCATTATTCTAGCAAAGTAAACTAGAATTAATTTAGGTTCAACCCTCGTAACTTGCCAGAATTCTTCGTGTTTAGCACTTTGAGTTTGTAATATTTAAAAATAGGGTCCTCTAGTCATGCAGAGAAGTGCAATGCGAAAAGGGTCATTAAAAAAATACCAGTAAAACCCCAGTGATGTCTCTAGAACAGTGCTGTGTTGGCGTATCTGTACTGGATAGTCAGGGTCACAGATGTAGCGATGGCTAACGATAGTGTCATTTGCATTGTCTGGTTTATGACACGCGGGGATGATGGAAGTACAAGAAACAAAGTCCCCACCACCCCTTTCTAGATGGATTTTCAACACTGCTGCTTCAAACACAGCCCTGGACAGTGCTTACCCTGGAGTGAGAGGTTCTTGCCATTGGGTTTGATCTGTTCCAGCAAGGTCACGGCTTCGCTCAGACAC